TGAGGGGTCTGGGGTCACCCTGAGGGGTTTGGGGTCACCCTGAGGGGGTTTGGGGTCACCCTGAGGGGTTTGGGGTCACCCTGAGGGGTCTGGGGTCACTCTGAGGGGTTTGGGGTCACCCTGAGGGGGTTTGGGGTCACCCTGAGGGGTTTGGGGTTGTCCTGAGGGGTTTGGGGTCACCTGAGGGGTCTGGGGTCACCCTGAGGGGTTTGGGGTCACCATGAGTGGATTTGGGGTCACCCTGAGGGGTCTGGGGTCACTCTGAGGGGTTTGGGGTCACCCTGAGGGGTCTGGGGTCACTCTGAGGGGTTTGGGGTCACCCTGAGGGGTTTGGGGTCACCCTGAGGGGTCTGGGGTCACTCTGAGGGGTTTGGGGTCACCCTGAGGGGTTTGGGGACATCTTGAGGGGTCTGGGGTCACCCTGAGGGGTTTGGGGTCACCCTGAGGGGTCTGGGGTCACTCTGAGTGGATTTGGGGTCACCCTGAGGGTTTGGGGTCACCCTGAGGGGTTTGGGGTCGTCCTGAGTGGATTTGGGGTCATCCTGAGGGGTTTGGGGTCACCCTGAGGGGTCTGGGGTCACCCTGAGGGGTCTGGGGTCACCCTGAGGGATTTGGGGTCACCCTGAGGGGTCTGGGGTCACTCTGAGGGGTTTGGGGTCATCCTGAGGGGTTTGGGGTTGTCCTGAGAGGTTTGGGGACATCTTGAGGGGTTTGGGGTCACCCTGAGGGGTCTGGGGACATCTTGACGGGTCTGGGGTCACCCTGAGGGGTTTGGGGTCACCCTAAGGGGGTTTGGGGTCACCTGAGGGGTTTGGGTCATCCTGAGTGGATTTGGGGTTGTCCTGAGGGGTTTGGGGTCATCCTGAGGGGTTTGGGGTCACTCTGAGGGGTTTGGGGTCACCCTGAGGGGGTTTGGGGTCATCCTGAGTGGATTTGGGGTCACCCTGAGGGGTTTGGGGTCACCCTGAGGTGTTTGGGGTCACCCTGAGGGGGTTCAGGGTCACCCTGAGGGGGTTTGGGGTCACCCTGAGTGGATTTGGGGTCATCCCGGGGGATCAGGGTGATCTCGTGAGGATCAGGGTGATCCCTTGGGTGCTGCATCCATCCCATGGGGATCAGGGTGATCCCTTAGGTGCTGGATCCATCCCATGAGGATCAGGATGATCCCGTGAGGATCAGGATGATCCCATGAGGATCAGGGTGATCCCTTGGGTGCTGGATCCATCCCATGGGGATCAGGGTGATCCTGTGGGGATCGGGGCAATCCCATGAGGATCAGGGTGATCCCATTACGATCAGGATGATCCCGTGAGGATCAGGGCGATCCCATGAGGATCAGGGTGATCCCGCAGGGATCAGGGTGATCCCATGGGTCTCTGGATGATCCCACGGGGATTGGGGCGATCCCATCAGTCTCAGGGTGATCCCGCGGGGATCGGGGCGATCCCGTGGGCCTCAGGATGATCCCGCGGGTCTCAGGATGATCCCGCGGGGATCGGGGCGATCCCGTGGGTCTCTGGATGATCCCGCGGGGATTGGGGCGATCCCATTAGTCTCAGGGTGATCCCACGGGGATCAGGGTGATCCCGCGGGGATCGGGGCGTTCCCGTGGGTCTCTGGATGATCCCGCGGGGATCGGGGCAATCCCATCAGTCTCAGGATGATCCCACGGGGATCGGGGCGATCCCATCAGTCTCAGGATGATCCCACGGGGATCGGGGCGATCCCGCGGGGATCGGGGCAATCCCATCAGTCTCAGGGCGATCCCACGGGGATCGGGGCGATCCCGTGGGTCTCTGGATGATCCCGTGGGGATCGGGGTGATCCCATCAGTCTCAGGGCGATCCCGCGGGGATCGGGGCGATCCCATCAGTCTCAGGGCGATCCCGCGGGGATCGGGGTGATCCCATCAGTCTCAGGGCGATCCCGCGGGGATCGGGGTGATCCCATCAGTCTC